CTTACTGTTCTGTCCAGATGTTGAATTTATTTATTTATTTATTTATTTTCTTCCTTCCTTACTGTTCTGTCCAGATGTTGAACATTCTGGGGGTCCCTTTGTCCTGTGGAACAAGACTTTCTTGGTAGCCATTTCCAGGCTCTGGAAATACCTGGAAATAGCCTGGCTCCCCATTATAATTTTTCTTCTTGTAGACAAAGGCATTTGTATTCATATAGGCCTTAGACGTCTAAGCTGAATGGCTTCTACTTAGTTTCCTTACTGTTCTGTCCAGATGTTGAACATTCTGGGGGTCCCTTTGTCCTGTGGAACAAGACTTTCTTGGTAGCCATTTCCAGGCTCTGGAAATACCTGGAAATAGCCTGGCTCCCCATTATAATTTTTCTTCTTGTAGACAAAGGCATTTGTATTCATATAGGCCTTAGACGTCTAAGCTGAATGGCTTCTACTTAGTTTTATAACTTTCTTTCTTTTTTTGGAAAATGTATTTCTCTTTATATTAATTGTATTGTTTTTAGCTGTCCTCTAGTTATTTTTCTTGAAGAAAGGCAGGATTCATTTAATACACAAATAAGTAACAATACATTTTGGATGACAGAATTGGTTTGAATACACATTTGACTAAATGATCCATTATTGTGTTTATATGGTTTCTGTATTTTCATCTCCAATACATGCTTTGAAGTTGAATGAAATGCTTAGAAAGGGTGTATTTACTACACATTTAAAATGACACAATTGTTGTTCAGACTGAACAATAAGGGGGGGGGGAGAGACTTTATTTTTGGCTTGCTTTATTTTTCTATCTGGAATGAAAGCTAAAGCATATAGATAATTATTTCTCAGCTTAATTTTGAGGTTCATCTTATCTTGTTAATGTAATTGAATAGCTTTTGTAAAAAAAAGAAAACAGCATTTGATTACCACATGCTTTTTGTTCTGTACAATGTAAACCTAAATTTGTCACCAAATGAAGCACCAATTCATATTGGAACCACCCACATTGGCATTCATCTCTGAAATTTCTCAGCTGCACCACTTCTGCTAACATTCATATGACCTTTCTATATGCAGCCAAAGGATTTCTCCATAGGAAACCTTTGACATCTTTGGTCTTTGACTGATGAAAGCTGCTGTTTTACTCTTCAGTGCTGAGCTCATGAATTGCTTGAAAATTCTCAGATGAAAACTCAGTTTTGTTTCTATCCCTGAAATCCCAAAGGAGGTGTTTGAGGGAAAGAACACTTTTAATTAAGCACTAGACATATTTCAGGGCATATTATTCTTTCTGCTTTTGTGTTGAGAAAAATAAAGCTTTTGCACCAAATTCATGTGTGGCCAGGAAGATCTCCTGGGGCTCCTCCTCTTTACCCTATTTTAGGACATCTTTCATACTATGGTTTGTAGACTTCCACAGGAAAAAATAAGGCAGAGCAGAGCTTTGAAAACACAAAATATGACACCCCACTAAGAACATAATTGACATGTGTCATAGAAGATGCTTTCACAGAGCTCATGCATTTATTTAGAAATAGACAACACCTTGACTTTGGAAAGTATTAATCATATTGTAAAATACCTTGGAAGTTTCTCAGATTACAATTTCATTAATACTTGCTGTATGCTTCCTTAGCCATATCACAATATATTTACATATTTTAAGAAAATACAATTAATTTTTCAAAAAACGAAAAGTTGAAAAGAGCACCTTTAAAAACTGTTGACTTCTGTTTTTTTACTGGAGCAATTGTTATACACTAGATGGCCTTTTTTTCAGACTAAAATATCTGCAGCAGGTTTTGCTGAGTGAAGAAGACTTGCAGTTGCATTCCCAGAGTCATTTCTGGAACAGTTTCTGGAACAATCATGTTTTCCATCTCCAGTAACAATACTGGGCTACACTCAAGTAGAAAAGACTATCTTTGAAATGCACTTAGGGTGAAATCAGACTGCTACAAACTGGCATACCTGATCACAATGGAATTAGTTATTTTCATGTGAGCCATCAACCTTGAAGTCACCCTTCCATCTGTCAAAGTATTACTCTAGCCCAGCCACCTCAAAGTAGAAGCCCTATAGCTGGACCAAAAACAATCTAACATGGGCACAGAGCAGGGTCTGGCTGGAACACATTTTTCCATGTATGGTGTGATCTCTGGAAAATAGAGTGCACCGGACCACTTCAGAAGCTGTCCAATCTGTGATCTATTTTGCTTTGTGATCACCCCCATACACCTTTTTAGTCAGTTCCATATATTGCACATGTAGCAAATCCAGTTACCATCTGAAAGAAGCAAGTACTGTATGTAAAATACATAAGTGGAAGATACTCATCTTTGTTTATCACTATAGTAAGAAGAAAAATATCATGCAAAGTTGCCAGTTGCTTTGGTCTGCTACAAAACCTTAGTGTCACTGGGCTCTGTGACTCTCTCTGGGCTCAAACATTCAGATATTTCAGTTCCAATTTCATGGGCCACTGGAGCTAAGGCTAAGCATGCTAAAGTTGTGCTGAAACCAAACATTTCCCAGGCTAAGGACATTGGAAATCACTTGGAACTATCCTCCCCTTGGCCTAACAATGTGCCAGCATTGTGATTGTGGGCTGAAAGTTTGAAACTCATCTAACTTGGCCTATGCCTTCTATGGCCCCTTTCTAGCCATCTGTCTTTTATATCTTAGCCCGCATATTGATTATATCTTAGCCCCCAATGATTTCTGCTTACAGAAGAGGTTGTGTGCCTCATCCTAATTCCCTGCAGCTAGCAGTAGTATTGTACTGCACAATTTGGGAGGAAAGGAGGCAGGGAGATTGTGTTGCTCTCAAGGAAGGGGCAATTAGACGACAGAAAAGAAACAGACATCCTGAAAGAAATAATATGGGCAGAACAAGGTTGGATGGCCCTCAAAGGAACATGGAAAGCTTCATGGCTCCAGATATGAAGAGAAGTGCTGCAGATTCTGAAAGTGGGCAAACAGTTATAATCCTCATTGGTACAGCAGACTCCAAACTCTTTGTTGCCTGAGGCAAAGGCAAAGACTAAGATCTCTTCTCCCATTTAACAGACAGGAATGAACTGGAAGTGGAGGAACACAAGGGATGGAGTAGTGTCCTCCATTGCACCAAGAGTAGGATGCTAGTTTAAAGATATGCAGATATGTATCACACACCCCTCTGTCTTCCAACAGAGGGGAATAGCTGGATAGCTGATGAGGAGCAGATGGGGAGCTTTTACTGCTGTAAAATTGTAAACCGCGCGGAGAGTGCTTGTAGCACTATGGGGCGGTATATAAGTCCAATAAATAAATAAATAAATAAATCCCCCAGCAGTTCCACACCTCCCCCTGTGTTTGCCACTTTTCTCTGCCGAATTGGTAAGGCCAGCCCTGCCAACCAGGAACCTTTATGCTGCTTTCCAAGTCTTCATGTCATTGAGTTAGTTTCCAAATTATTCCTGAAAAGGCTGAGCCCTGCTTGCATCCATTATGAAGTACCGGTATTTCTTTATACAATGAGTTTGGTGCTTCGCTTTGCAAAGCAGCAGCCTAGGGTGGATAGGGTGGGGGGAATACCTGTGGTGAAAGACAGGAGGGGGACAAAAATGCTTTGCCACCTGCTGTCTAATGATCACTTCCCCTGATAATTTTGTCTAAAGGTGCATTCCAGACACGAAGGGCTTGCCCAGACACAGCAAATAGCAGAAGGGGATTGAAAGAATGCCAAGAGATACAGAAGAAGGGCAGAAGAGGAAGGAAAGATTTCATTTCCCACACAGTTTTTCTCAAAAGATCTGATTTTAGAGGGAAATAACTACCTGAAAGCTTGTTCTGATGGGACAATCTACAATAGGCAAATCCAATGCAGGCGGAAAAATGTTGCTGTGTGGGAGAATTTGTAGGGGACTTTTTTTTTCCTTTTATTGCAAGCCAGGAAAACCTGATCTGATGGTGAAAGGAACTGCACCCTTGTAGACTGGTGCCACGCATGGCTTCCAATGCAAATACCCCTGAGTGATCTCTCAATAGCGATTTGGACTTGTCATCCATTTCACATTTTTACTTTCAGTGTAAAGCCTCTGTATATTTCCTGTTAAGTTGATAAATAATTTCAATTATTATTTCTGTCAGAAGTTTATGTTATTGTTTAGTGCAGCTTTTGAAACTTCATATCCAGAAATGCAAACTGTTAATCAACCAGATGTCTATTAAAGCCCTCTCTTCCTTCTTTAGTCACTTTTGATTAATTTCTAAGTAATGATATTGAGCAGCAATACTACCCAGGTGGAGAGTCCAGCTATTTGGTTGCTTCTTTACTAGTCATTTTATATTAGCATTTCTAGATGACTTTTCAGCCCTATGCAAACCATTCCCCTGCAATATCCTAAAACAATGCAACCAGTAAGCCAATAAAAAAAATCATAAGAGACATTTAACTGAACATCAAGAAGTATGGGTATACATATTGAGCACATAACACTTGTTTAGGGGGTTAAGCAGAAAATCTGCACATCTATCTCATTTATTCATGCACACACACATGGATGAATAGTGTATACCTAAGCCTGTGTAACTTGAAACTGTTGTGAAATTTGCACCAAGGTGGAAATTGCATTTAGAAAGCACAGGCACACGTGCACAGTATGTGTGTGGTCAGTTCATAGGCAGTTGTGTGCTCAATTGTGCAGTTCATTCTACATTTAGTTGCATGGTTCATTGATACACGGAATGAGATACATTCCATGTATCTCAGCTCTCTGTGAAGATCAACAGTCATAACTTTCACACTATTTATTTATTTGATTTATATACCATTATAAGAATGAGAACAAGGTGTCACAGGCAATAGGAGTTCAGCCATTACATTCCAATTGTTAAAGGAAGGCTCATTCCATGACTTCACAATTGCCCACCTCTGGTGATGTCACAACAGTCTCCTCCTGTTCTGACACCAGATCTTACTGTGACACAGAAGCAGTTGGACTGAGTGATGAGAACAATTATTGTGGGGCTTAAGGCCTGTGAATTATCAGCAACAAGAATGATTGTTCAGACATAGTTTCAAAGTAGTGCTGATGGCATAATAAAGTTTCCTTCGCCAGGGTACAAGGTATGCCTCTCTTTTTGACAGCAACAATATAAAATGCTTAATTCATTTGGATTTGTCCCAGTGAAATAGAAAGCAAGAACAACGTGTCATTGTTAGTGGGGGAAAAATGTTGCTGTGATAAAAATCAAATCAGCCAGTAAAAATGTTGTTGTAAAGCTCCTAAATTTCAGTTTCCTCTTGTCATGCAATCTCCAGGCAAATGCATTCTGTTGTGGATTATAAAAATAAAGCAGCGAGTAGGTAAATACCTTCTCATGTGAAAGTTGGAACATATCACTTGAAGACTGAAGGTGAGCTTCAAATCTTAGTAGTTCCTTTCCTCCCGAAAGGCAGTTAATTTCAATAAGTAATTTTGTCAGATATTCTTGCTTTAATCCTTGCCTCCCAAAGCTTTCTATGATGAATATTGCTGAGAGTGTTAATAACTGCAACAATAACAACTTGTAAAATCATGCAGCATAGCCTTCTGAATGAGAAAATAGAACTGGAGGAAAGAATTTTAACAGAAGTGTAAATCCCTGTTCTTTTAGATTGTCTGCCATTACTACAGATCTGTCCTATTTAATTAATTTTAAAAGTCTCTAATTTGTGTTTAATCAAGTAACAGATTTGATCTTAAGGACATAGTCAAGATTCAGCTGCATCTAGAGTATTATTACAGGCTGTAATCAAACAAAACTAAGCTATTTAACATAAATATGCATCATACTGAATAAAAAGTGGTTTCTGTGGGACTAGGTTCCTGGGGCTATTTGCCAGCCTCAGTTGTAGGCAGTAGCAGAATGTAGGTAAATATAATGCTGTCAGTGAAACAGGCTTCTTGAAAATAACACCATCCTTTACAAACTGCAAATAATGTCCCCTTTCAGTGCTTCAATATTTAATGCAACATGACTTAGAAGATGTCATGATCAAATAGTGCAGTTGCCCCCCCCCCCACAATCTTGCCTCAACTTAAGGGTCATTGTTAACGTTTTCTCTGAGAAGCTCAACTTTTCTTGAAAGCAGCCTTTATCAACCCATCAGTTAGTTCAGCTCATTAATTAAGGGAACTTTTTGGCTTTTCTAGCATTTATTTTCTAAGGTGTCTCATATTCCTAGTCAGTAGTAGTATACAAACTGACAATATAGAGTGCCAGAAAGACAAACAAGCGGGTCTAGATCAAATCAAGTCTGAACTCTCTCTAGGGGCAAAACTGATGAAAGTAAGGTTGTCATATATCAAGAGCTCATTGCGAGAAGACAAGACTGTGGAAAAGACAATGATGCTATGACAAATGGAAGTAGCAAGAAAAGCAGAAGACCAAATAGGAGATGGATTGACTCCATAAAGAAAGCCAGAGCCTTGAGTAGGCTGCTAACAATAAGATGTTTTGGAGAACACTCATTCATACAGAAGCGACTTGATGGCACATAACAACAGCAGCAGTATAGACTGCAATAGTATAGGATTGCTTAAAGGGTTGCCATTGCATTTGAGGGAGCCAATAATGTTCTTGCCTAGCTCTTTGACATATGTGTCTTCTAAGCCCTCCAACTAAATGCTTTCATTGTAATAAAACACTGTACCAAAGATATTGTTGACTGAAGCAAAGTCTATGTGTCTTCTAAGCCCTCCAACTAAATACTTTCATTGTAATAAAACACTATACCAAAGATATTGTTGACTGAAGCAAAGTATAGGATGGCACCCCTTCATTTCATGTGAAGACACATACTGTTTCCACAACTGATGCTTATTTTAACACTGCTGACTCCTCTTTGTACATGGCCAGTGCAGGGAGTGGAGAACCAGTTGCATGGCACACAAAGGTGTCCTCCTGCCCATTCAGACTGGGAGAAAAGTTTTGGAACACCTTTCACTACTGGCTTCCAGCATCTCTTACCTCAGGTAAATACCTCACTCTGCCTAAAGGGAAGGGTAAAGCGGCAAAACCTATTAAATATTCTGCATGTAATAAACTATATCATCCCAAGGAGATGGTGTGCCAATGGATTCAATTAGGCATTCTAAACAAATGGAAGCATTTGATCTACGCATTAATTACAAGCCACCAAGTCAATTCTGACCAATTGTGACCCATTTCAGGGTTATGTAGGTATAGAGAACTCAGAAGTGGTTTACCATTCCCTTCTTCTTGGGGCATCGTGGGACTGTGCAGCTTGCCAAGTTTACACAGGCTGGCTCTTCCCACAAGAAGCACAGAGCAGACTCAAAATCCTAATTTCAGCCTCCACAGCTAGCTACTCACTAAACTATCTAATCAGTTCCAGTTATGATACACACACGCGCACGCACACACATACACTAAAAAGGTCAAGTATAGCCCACATAAAAGTTTTTTTATTTTATTTATTTATTTTATTTATATCCCGCCTATCTAGTCGATTGACCACTCTAGGCGGCTCATAAAAAAGTTTATCCTGATTTTGCTGAAAAGCAAAATTCTCTGTCACTAATAACTTTTTAAAATAAACTGTTAGACTTCAGTGTTGCACAACACCAGCCCTAGAATCTTCTGGCTTATTAATGATGTGTGGTTTGCCTCCCATCTGGTGATTCTTGGTTCTCTGCACAAATGCTACACCATCTTTTTTCTTTTCCTTCTTTTTTCCTCCTCCTTTTAAAAATATCTGTATTGCGGGGCTGGATTTTTTTCCACTTTGTTTTTCATTATTGTTGCATTTGCAAGCTTTGCCAGCCTATTGCACAGGAAGGTCTGCCAATAGACAAAGGAGATGACAGGGAAGTTTCAATTGCAGGAAAATACACTATCTGAAATATTGGTGCAGTGCTATACCACTGCATCAATATTGCAGAACAAAAAAGAGGGGAAAATTACTTGCAAATTTTAAGGAACAACAACTACAAGAAATTCCTATTGCAATCATTCAGAACAACATACATTCCAGACAAGACAGTTATGGGCCAGGACAAAATGCAAGTGAAGTCAGGGCAGACTCATGGATAGATGGAAATGCCAACTGTCACATACACCCCAGTGAATCCTGTGTGTTTTACCCCTCACCCAGGTTTACCTTTGGACACGACTTGTTCTTTAACCTTTTTTTGCTGCCACCAGAGGATCTTATCCTCACTATGTTTTGCTGCCACCAGAGGATCTTATCCTCTATATCAATTATGAATTTTACACTCTTGCTGCCAAATATAACAAGGTTTATTTATGGAGTAGTAAGTAAATCACAGAAGGAAAATCATGGATGTTCTATTATCTTTCATTCAATAAACGTGGATTTGATTAAATGTAAGATTGCTTGTATTCATTTACTTTAATCAAGGTCTCAATATATTCTGCCTGTCAATGTACTTCTAATTCCTTTTAACTCTTTAATATTCTCTAACATACCAACTGTCCAACATCTTGTCTAAACACTACACAGTCTTCTCCCTAACTGACTTTCTGTCACACACAGTTCTGTTGACTCTGCCCCTCCTGTCCTGTCATAGGGTCCTGCACTAGAGCTCTAATATGACTGACAGGAGTAACGTGTGGGCTGTCCGCCACACCAACTATTTAAGGTGCTTTAAAGAGCTTCAAGGTCCCCTGCACTTAATCAATCCATGGGGACAGTAACAGCAAAACAATGAGCATGTTACACAAATCAGCACAATAATATCCTGAAACAAATCTTGTATTTCTTACGCAATGTAGCTGCACTCTCAGAAAATATTGGAAACAGACTACTGTGAAACACCCCACTGAGTTAAACCACATGAAGAAATCTCTCTACCATGAATATATGAAGTAGGCATTATCTTTTAATATGAATTATATTAAAAGGTGCTAGCCTACCAACCTCTTCTTCCATCATATCCTAATCATCACTGTCATTATCACAGTGTGCCATTAGGTTGATTCTGACTTGTGACTTTTAATCATTTTCTTGGTATAAAATAATCAGAAGTGGCTTACCACTCCCTTCTGGTGCTGTAAGGCTGTGTAGCTTGCCCAAGGCTACACAGGCTGGCTCTTCTTCCTGGAAGCACAGCTAGGAATCAGCTTCCTAACCCAGGCATTCCAACGCACTAAGCTAGCCAGCCAGCCAGACCACTACTACCACATTGCAATTCTGTTGTTGAGAAAAGCTTCTAAGACTGAGCTTTGCAGATCAGTTCAATCTACGAAAATTCCTGTAAGATTAAACTGGCTCAGTTCCTGAACACTTTGGCTTCACTGGCATATCAACTGGCGTGTAAGGCATCTAGCAATAATAGTTGGAATGCCCAAAGTTGCAGGTGGCAATGCTGCATTAGTACATAAATATTCAATGAGGAAAGTAATGAAATTGCAGGATTTGCAAAGAATTAAAATCTCTGTCACCATCTTTTCTCTTGTCATTTCACCTTCAATAATAGATTATCTCCCCTTCCAAATAACTTACTTTAAAATTAAATTCTGGTAAGTTTCTCTCTGCCCTGGAGTGAAAGAACTTTATTTCTGCACCCAGTTATAAATTGAACCAAAATATCCATCATCTTCAATAGCAGCATTGAATAACTTTAAGCACATAATGCAGGCCAAAGATACTCTGATGTAAATGACTTAATATAATGCAAATGGTTGCTCCCACGTGACAAGGAACAGTAAAATCTTATCACCCCCCAGTTGGGTAATTGCCTGAGATAGAAGGAGGTGAAATTAAATTATTTTGTGCTTTAAATTTTTTTGAGTGCTAGGAAGTTCCACAGACTCCTTTTAAAAAGGCACTTTCCTGATTAAAGCAAAGCAAAGCAAAGTGTGTTGCTTATATACCACCCCATAAGGCTTAAAGCACTTAGAAGGTTTCTGGCATTTTTGTTATACCTGTTCATTTTCAGATATATACAGTTCAAGCACACTGTGCTGCTTCCTAAGCAACATTAATCTATCACCCCAAAATCCAAAATATTCCTATGATCTTTTAGTAGCCATTTTTGACAGCAAGCTGCAATTTATTCTGTCTTGATTTGTTATGATTTCAAATGTTCATTTTAAAATTGTTGTATTTGTGTTTCATTATTGGAATGTATTTATTTATTTATTTATTTTATATCCTGCCTATCTGGTCGGGTGAGGACCACTCTAGGCGGCTAATGTATTCATTAGTTAAATGAATAGAATCACTCAACTGGCCACATCTGAATGTTAAACATCTTGTGTTAGGCTGCCTACCTAACCCTGTATAGCATAGATGTACTCAAAATGGGGGCTCCTCATTGCATGTGGCCCTCCAGTGTAGTCCCACCAGCCTCACCAGGACCCCAAAATCAAAGTTGTTCTGTTTCAGAGTTGTTCTGTTGTTCTGTCTCAGAGTTGTTCTGTCTTACAGGCCTCTTAGAGGACAATTCTATACATCCTGTTTGGCCCCCTTGCAACATGCTGTAGGCCTTTAAATGCCTTTTTCTGAAAACTGAAGATTGGTAGTCACTTCCTGTTGCTAAAAAAGAGCCCTTTATAGCCGGAAACAGCTGTAGAAGGAGTAAAAAGGGTTGTATGATGCAAATTGCACATCCCAGAGACCTCTGTGATCATGATTTCCATTTGGGAGGTTTAACAAAAGAGAGTTTATTGTGGAGGTGAGACAGCATTCTTATGGCGTGTTTGTGGCACTCCATGGTCTGGGGAATGGCAACATGGTCTCTAGCTCCTTGGAAGTACAGTGGTGCCCTGCACGACGATGTTAATTCATTCCATTGAAATAACTGTTTTGCGAAAACATCATCTTGTGAAAAGTGTTTCCCCATTGGAATGCATTGAAATCCGTTTAATGCATTCCAATGGGGAAAAATTGTCATCATCCAGCGAAAATTGCCCATAGGAAAGCCCTTTTGTGAAGCACCGATCAGCTTTAAAATCGTGGTCTGCGAAACACGGACCAAATCATCGTCCAGCAAAATCCCCCATAGGAAAAACCATTTTGCAAATCGCTGTAGCGATCGCAAAAAGTCATTGTCCTGCGGATTACCCGTTTTGTGGGGTAATTGTCTAGCAGGGCACCACTGTAGTCCAGGCCTCATATAGGAGGTAAAATATTGAAGAAACTGAATCAGAGAGATGTACGTTCAAATCCCTACTCAGCCAATTGAACTCAAAGTGTGGTATTAGGCTTTCCAAGTTTTCTGGGTCCATTGTTCACTGGATGATTGCTGTGAGAATAAAAATGGGATAATTCCATTTTTGCTTCTATGCAGAAAATGTGCAAGATTCAGATGAATTGGGCTGTAGATGTAACCATTATTCTAGTGGTTTGGAATACCAACAGGTGCCAGTAAATTCATATAGTATGCTAGCAGGGCGGACAGGTGTTCTGGTGTAATGATATAGGTGCTCAGGTGGAAAGTGCTTTAATGAGGACTCTTGCATAGCCAGAGCAACGAGAATCCATGCCAGGATCAGCAAAACTGGCTGGGAGTCTCAAACTCCCTGTCCTGATGGTAAATGGTGGTATTCTTGGATCATGCAGGCCCAGGAGCTGGTGCCAGCAGAAAAGGGAGCTGTTTACACAATGATGAATGTGATGTTGACCTGCTCAAAATCTAAAAAGGTAAAACTACCTGTGCAACCAGAGATTGCACAAGTATCATGCACAAATATGATTCTGACCAGAAACATCATTATCTTAATCCAATGCATCAATATGAGTGAGGGAGGACTAAACAATACATGACAGAATCTAATGCTGTATTTGAAATCAAAATAACTACATGATTCAAGGCAAAACCTAAAAGGCGCCATCAGACAAACATCCTCTAAGGACATTTCAGAATGTGAAATAACCCTGCCTGTCCATCTCTCCCTCGTCCTTTCCAGAAGTCTGTCTGGTTTTAGCTCAGAATGAATGTTTGAATCTCATTACTAACAAATGTGAAATTCAAATAAGGACAAAACAGGAATGGCACATCTATATAAACATTTGAAATGCCCAGACTGGGGAGTAGGTTTCCTTGCCCCCTTTCACCTCTTTACATAAAAAGGGAAAGTTGATTTCCAAGGAGGCCACCATTTTAGAACAGACAGTTTAAACTATAATCTTTAAAGTGTGGGGGAGCGTGTGCAGGTCTATATATATTCAAATAAATTCAAAAGAGACTGTGGACTTGATAACAGTGAGGTAATCTCTTTTAAGCCATTCTTTTAATTCTACTTTTCTTATCTCAGTGCATTGTAATGCTTTCTGCCCACTGAGTCAATTTCAATTCAACTCTTGGATGCATCCTGGTAATTACCCGGCCCAGTCTAATTCCCCTAGGTCTCAAAATGCAAAGCAATTCTTTGCAAGATAGAGATTGCTTCCTCCCCCCCTCGAGCTTTAACAAAAATAAGAAAAGACACTGCCATGATGTGATCAGATAGAGCTTCCATGCAGGTTTGTTCCAGACTGGAATTATTTATGTGGTGTGTAAATATGCACCTGGTAGTAGCAACAGAGCTGCTTTTGAGATGACCATCAGGTTGGTTCTTACTTGCATAGTGCTTTCAAATCTATCCAAATCTTATTGCTACATATTTATTCAGAAAATAATCTTAAGTGAATTATATTAAAATACTTTTATAATGCCATCTAGTGCAATTTACTGTATTTTAAAAACCTTACAGGAGACTGGTGGCACAACAAAGTGGCAAGGAGCCAGGAGCCATCTGCACTAATGTGTGGCTGGCCCACTGAGGTAACTTTACTAAAGTATACCATACATACATCTCATACGCACATACAAGTCTGGTTCCTTTGCATGGGTCACTGTGTCACTCCTTTAGTTTGGCCAGTCAAGGAGAACAAGGAAAAAGGACAGCTCCCTATCAGGTCTGCCTGTGGTGGATATAACAATAGGAACTCTTTGCCTCAGCTGTTATCAGCATGACTGTTGGAGGGCGAAGATCTAAGAGGGAGAGGAGAAGAGGATTAGAGCTGAAGAGGGACAAGGAAGAAGACAAATACAAAGAGGAAAAGGGAAGAGAAAAATAGGAAGGCTGCCTCTGAAGAATCCATCTAGCCCAAAATGCAGCAGCCCAGAATCCAGCAGCACTTAAGTAACCTTTTACAACAACTTCAGTGGGTAACTGGTCCATTTCTGGGCACATAGTACTGGTCACGAATGGAGCCTTGTATTGGATTCAGGCTATCTTAAATACTTCATTTCCCCATTTCAGTCCCCAGTTTTAAGAACTTAAGGGGAGCTCCTTTCAGTTCTGATGCCTTCAACAGACATGCTCAGTCCTCAGCTTTTAAGAACTTAAGGGGAGCTCCTTCTTTCAGTTCTGATGCCTTCAACAGACATGTTTGCTGAAGATACAAGACATGGTCTCTTCCATGGTTGCTCACAAGCTAAAGAATGCCCTCTTTCAGGAGAGCAGATTGGCCCCTCCCTGTTCTTCCATCAGCAAGCTAGGACTTTTCTTTTTAGGCTAACTTCTAAGTAACTGCACATCTGGCTCCCCTTTCTTATCTTCTCCTCCTCCTCCCCCTTCTCCTTCTTCTTGTATAGAGGTGATATAGTACTAAACTAATGTATCAATGCAGTCATAAGGTGATCTAGTGCTAAATTCGTAGTCTGATTTTCAAAAAACTTTGGTGTTTCTAAGGAGAAAGACTCTGGTTAATATGGCACCACCACCCAGAGTCACTTTTGTAGAACCACCCCTGTCCTTTTGTAGCGCAAAAGAAAATGGAAAACACCATTCAAATTGTTTCAGCTTTGAAAAAATAAAATTCCCCAGCAGGAGGAGAAAAAAAATCAGATTGGAAGCAAAAAGGTTCACATTGCCCTTTGTGCCATGCAATCATTGAAATAATATTTAGAATTCATCCATGTTAATTACAGAGTAAATCTTGAAATATTTGTCAGTGTAGCTGCAGCCCAACAGTAACTTTATTAGTGCTTCCACCACTTTGACTCCTAACTCTTTCTGTCCAGAGCTGGCTTTCTTCTGTACACCATCAGCACCACTACCATAGCATTGTCTCAATCCCATTCTCTTAAAAAGCAAATAGCATGGCTACAGTCCAATGCTTCAAGTCGTTTGGCTGCCACGAGGCTCCATTTATCTTTGCTGAAAGAAATTTCAATATTTTATGGAAACCATTTGAATATAGGGAAAATCTTCTGGCAAACACTAGCATAATTTAGCTATGATTTAACAGCTCCTTTCACTGACTTGTTAAATTACGCCACTCCATCACCAATCCTATGGGCCTTCTGCCATGCCATCGTACAACTCAAATTATATATTACCTCCCACGCAATGTGCAGAAGAAATAAAATGGCACAGCACATTCTATCTTTTGTGTGTGTGTGTATGTAAATTAATAACTGTGGATTACTTGAAGCAACTTAGGACTGAATGTGTTTCTGTCATGTGTATTTTCTTTGTCTAGAATTTGAAGTGTGGTGTCTGATATCTGAACTATATGGCTTGCTATGAAAATCTGTGTAGTAGCAAGTGGGATTTTGCCGGTTACAAAGCATTCATTATTATGGGTTAAGTTAATAAAATATGTTTAGGAGCCTGTTTTTTCCTCTCTTCATTGTCTTTTATACTTGCAATTAGCAGTAGCATCCTAGAAATAATATCTGGACATACAGCTACCAATAAAGATCTCAGATATTAAGGACATACCAGACAGTATTGGCTACTGGCTGGCNTCTGTCTCTCTCTCTCTCTCTCTCTCTCTCTCTCTCTCTCTCTCTCTCTCTCACACACACACACACACACACACACACACACACAAAAAGAGAGGGAAGTATGTAAATTAGTTTAATTATTAAAAATATCTATATTAGATATTTCAGCTGTCTCATCACATATCTTTAAAATAAACAAGGGCTAGGAAGTTAGATTACAAGGAAACTTGGCCTCCTAACTGGAGTCCAGGGTCAACATTCAACAACTGTTCACAGAGGCAACCATGATGTAGGAACTGCCCATTTGATCAGACAAAATAGTTCTGAATAATGTCAGTACCTCAAGCCATTATACACTTGCTATACAGTATCTGAAAAAAAACCTAAGGGAAAAATAATGATATGGGAAATAGTGGTCAGAATGCTATTAATTACACCCACTAGAGGTATAACTTCTAGGAGCAAATTTCTGTAAATTAAGAAGTTCATGTGAGCATTTCCTGTAACAAACTAATTGTATGACTCAGTGTACAATCGGAAATGCCTACTCTGACTTCTTAATTTACGGCAATTCACCACTATAGTTATGATGTTGGTGTTAACACCAAAGTATGATAGGATCCCAGCCCTTGTATTTTAGAGAAGAGTAAATTTTAGTAAATTTAGCATTCCTACCTCATATCTACACTCTTTGGTGAACAAAGCAGGACTTTGACCATGTAGTTGAGATAGAAAGGAAATTGTTTGAGTTAGCGTCTCTCTATGATAGTAATAACTTAACATCTCTTAAGAGAGGCAACAGGACAAAGTATATCTTACCTCAAAAACTCATACATTTCCAAGGCTTGCACTGCATTTCAACAAATAAAAAAGGCACAGAAAGTCCCGTGTACCTTTGAATGATGGCCATGACTGTAAATCTCTAAAAAAATTAAACACACAATTCAGTAAATTGTGGAAAGTATAAAATACACACACACACACACACACACCCATTGCTGTCTGAGATTTTATTTTGAACAATTGCAACTTTGAAATGCAGCTTAGATGGGATGAAGATGCTGGTTGGAATACTGAAAAACATCATGAAAATGAGACTGATAGATTTTCACATCCCTCATTTTCAGTCTGAGGAGAGTCGGAGAGCTGGCTGAGCAGATAGCACAAAGTGTTACCATACAGGCAGCACAGCACATTAGTGCTTAGGTTAGCAAGTTTGAAATATTTAATTCTTTGCAATTAATTCAGAAAATTTATGTGAGCCTGTGACAATAAGAAGCCTAGTTCTGAGAGGTATAAGGTTCTCTTGTTACAACTGAATGGGTATCCATCATGAAAGCAAAATAATGTTTCATAAATCTGGTTCCTAGTGTATGCTTAACATTACCTTGGGGATCCAATTATCAGCGGGAGGGGAATGAGGGTTCCTTTAACAAATAAAAAAAATGCAAAGTTCAGCTGTACAAATAGCAGTGTCAAGTCTCACTTTCAAATTAATGTTTGGACTTGTACCTTTAAAAATAAGAAATAGGCCGTCCTGCTGGAATAAAAATTACAACCCTCCCTCCTGAAATTCTGTGAAATTTTCTTTCTTTTTTGCATTTTTCCTAAATAAGGAACTGAAGCAATTAAAAGTAATTTTTTAAAAAAATGTGTGTGATTTTGTCCCTTGTTACACCTTAAACATAATATAATGAAATTATATCTTGGAAATTGGGGGGGATGGGGAGGATTGAATACAGCTAGGTCATTTCTAACCACTGAGTCAGGACTTTACCATTGAAGTATATGGTTCTTCTTCCACACATCCCACCCTTCCTCCCCTCTGGTCATCACATTGTCTTTTAATAAAGTACCTTGACAGCGGTGGACTATTGTAGGAACTGAGGGGACGCTGGGAGGGCGGAACATGCGCTTCATGGCAGAATGTCTCATTATCATGTTTTTAAGCTCTGAAACTTCTGAAACATCTTGCACAGACACAGAACAACCCAATTGTGTGGAGTCACAGAGGACCACTAGAAGAACCATGGTTACAGGTAGGTAACTTCTCTTTTCTCATTCCAAAAATTATGCTGAGGTTTCAAGGTAAACTGAAACTATCTCACCAGAAATCTAGAAGCGATGTGAGGAATGTGTTACTGTGAAGGTATTGGTGGACTAGAATGTGTGTTATTTCTGATAGACATTCAGGGGCTATAGCGCCAAAATATCTAGAAGCCTATACAGTGGTGCCTTGCATAGCGATCGCTCCGTATAGCGATGAAATTGCTTTGTGATGCATTTTTTGCGATTGTCCCTATGGGGTATTTCTGCTTTGTGATGATCGCAGGGAAGCGATCATCGCAAAGCCCCCATTTTTGTACAGCTGATTGGTGGTTTCAAAATGGCCACCGGGTAAACAAAATGGCCGGCCGCTGTTTTCAGGCATGGATTCCTGGCTTTAGAGGCACCAAAAATGGTGGCGCTATGGAGGATCTTCGCTCAGTGGTGAGTTTAAAGCCCATAGGAATGCATTGAAGGGGTTTCAATGCGTTTCTATGGGCTTTTAAATATCGCTTAGCGATGTTATTGCTTAAGAGCGATTTTTCGGCATGAATTAACATCGCTAAGTGAGGCACCACTGTACACTTCCCATTCTTGTTCTTCAGTCATCCATAATGAGTTTAATTGGTTTTAACTAGTATGTAGTTGCTAGCTATGTCAGGCTGAAAACACATGACCCTCACTGATTTCCCAGGCATTGTGTCTGCAGCCCTGGGCCATTTGATTGTCATTTTTCACTATTTTGTCACACAGAGGGGCTATAAGGTAACATTTAAAGCCCATAGGAATGTGCCCAGGGAAAGATCAGGAAACTGAGGCATTTTCAGCTTGGTCGAACGAAAATTTCGCTCAATTTCTTGGCAAGTAAAGTTGTTTAGAACTGGTCTGTCTTGCTCGCAACATTTATAACAGAGTCTGGCCTGAGGGTGTCAGAAGCAACAACTTGTTGCAGTTTGCATGGATCTGTAGAGTTTTGTTTCCCACAAGGGTGTTGGCAGTTGGCTGATGCTTGTTTAGATACATCCTTATTTTGGCTCATAAAGAAGAACTCAGTAATGGTTAGATGTGTGGTGGTAACTGTATTAACAGTAAACAGATAACTTCAGGAGGGCAGGATTCCTCCTTTATTAAAGAAGGTGATTATCCTCACTCATTCTTGAAGACACTGCCTGTACACAGGACTGATTTAACAGTTTTAGGCTCATATCAAATCTCTCTTTTCCAGCAGAGGTAATTGGACATACAGTGGCACAGCAAACACAGCATATCTGGATAATACGTACATCCTTCATCAGCCTATTTTAGTTGGACTTATGACCTTGTTGCGGGACTGTGACAGCTTTATGGGCCTTAGTGGATGATTAGCTTCTCGATATCCAGGAAGTGTTTTTGAACATCTTGATCTTCTTTGATATTTGAAGCTCTTTTTAAATATATTTCAAGGGTTTGTACAGCAACTGAAACTACTAAATCTAGCTCTTGAGTGTTTCTGTTCTATTTTTGTGGAATCATGGGATCATAAAACTGGAGAATTGAAAGATACCTGTGTCATCTAATCCAAACTCCTGCTGATTTAGAAACCTATAGCTGAAGCATCGCAGAAACATGGCCATCCAACTTCAGTTTAAACACTTCCAACAAAGGAAACACCAGCATATTCTGAGATAATCTATTCCACTTTCAGACAGCTCTTAATAAAAATAATAATTGTTTGTCTTCAAGTTGATTTCAATCTATGGCTCCTTCCATGTTCCCCAGGAGAAGACTGGGAGGCAATATGATAAACCATCTTCAGATATCTGAGGATATCATATGTAAAATGGAACAAGTTTGTCATTGGTTTCTTCACAGGATAAGATCCAATCCAATAAATTTTGATTACAAGAAATGAAACTGAGCTTTAGACAGAATTACCTAGCACTAGGAGCTGGCTGGCTGGCTCAGTGATTTAGGTACCAGGCTGCAGAGCTAGACGTTCGAAATTTGATTCCTCACTGGGCCTTCTGAGAGAAGAGCCCGCCTGTGTGGCCTTGGGCAAGCTGCACAGTCTCAGGGAGCCCCCAGAATAAGGGAATGGTGAACTACTTCTACATACTCTCTAGCTAGAAAAAACAGTGCTTTTGCAAAAACATCACCTGGCCCTCAAGTTCTTAATTTTAGTATTTAATTTTAGGCTTAACCCTAAAGAGAAATAAGAAGTGCTCTGTCTGTCTGTCTGTCTGTCTGTCTGTCTGTCTGTCTGTCTGTCTGTCTGTCTGTCTGTCTGTCTGTCTGTCTGTCTATCTATCTATCTATCTATCTATCTATCTATCTATCTATCTATCTACAACCCTCCCTACACCATAGGATTTTGGTGTGGGTTATAGAACTGTGTAAAACAATTTTAAAACAGGAGATATTTAAAACAATTTAAAATCAAAGAGTACAAAATTTTAAAAATTCAAATATTAAGAACATTAAAGCCACTGAACTAAAACTTATGCAAGCTTTTAACCCCAAAAGGCTCTAATAAATAAGTACATCTTGAGTTGATGCCAAAATGATGACAGTGTTGTCACCAATCAAGCCTCCAATCAGGCCGTCCCATAGTTGGGGTGTTACATCAGAAAAATACCTGTCCCACATAGCATAGCATACTCAGTGATGAGACATGGAGGAGGGCCTCCCCAGCAGATCTTAGTGATCAGGCAGGTTTATATATAGAGAGGCACTCCTTCAAATATCCAGGTCCCAAGCTATTTAGGGCTTTATAAGTCATTGTCAACACCTTTAACTCAGACCAGAAACATATTGGCAGCCAGTGCAAATCCTTCAGAACTGGTGCCATGTGAGTCCTGAATGATGTTCCTGTCTAGTTACTGCATACTGTCTTGGTAGTAAAAGATGATATAAATGTGACAGATACGATATGTTCTTTCTTCAGGGTATTGTTGCTATCATTACTGCCATTGCCAGTTTTCTTTTTAAAACGTTAAACAACTTTAAAAAGCTTCAGGGGAGCAGAAATTCTTCTTTTTACATTATCTCTTTCTAGTACTGTAGTAATAATCTGGGGGCTGCAAAAATTCCTTCCGAGTCAGATAGGTTGTACCCATAATCTGGATGTCCCTCTGTTATGTGTACAGGTGCAAGGACACATTCAATGGTTTTTTGGCATCCTCACCTCCTACCAGCTTACTCTGAAGGCCTTGTTTAATTATTGCTGTGGTCCAATTTTATGCATTTAAACTGTTGGGTTAAAGTTTGTGTCAAACAAAACACCTTATCCTTTAAAATGTTACAAAGTGTTATGTTGTCTCCTGTTTTTCACTTTAAAACTCAATTGTTCCATTCAGCATGGAAGTATCTGGGCCCTTAACTCTCTCTCTCTCTCTCTCTCTCTCTCTCTCTCTCTCTCTCTCTGTGTGTGTGTGTGTGTGTGTGTGTGTGTGTGTGTGTGTGTGTGAGAGAGAGAGAGAGAGAGAGAGAGAGAGAGCTTTGATCTTATCCATCACATTTATAACTTCTTTTACTATCATGGTTGTTGACAAAAACTCCCCCTTTCCCCTTTCCTTGTTGAGATGTGTTGCCTAACCCTGTAGGCTTAAAAGGAGTTTCAAGTGAATAAGCCCTTTACGCATACATACAGTGCTGGCATGAATATTCATACTACTAGGAATTTGAAAAAGGGCCCCCTGATGTGTCCTCCAATTCATCCTCCTTTCAGGAAATGGCTTCAACCCCTCTTTTCATTAGATTTTATGAGTGCCCCAAAGGTATAGTTTAGGCCTGTTTGCTACTAACCTTCACCTGAAAGTCTCTCTCTCTCTCTCTCTCTCTCTCTCTCTCTCTCTCTCTATCTATCTATCTATCTATCTATCTATCTAGTAAAAATGTAATGAGAACAAAAATATAATAAAGGACTTATTTCAGAAGAAAAACTGCTAAAACAGGGCAAAAATCTTCAGTGAAATGGTAAGCCTACCATTTGGCTAGAGGCTGCTTTTGAGTTACCATATTTTTTCCAAGCAGAACCCTCCAGTTCACAGCACAGGATCTATGCAACTTCACTTCTCTGTACTTTCCATTTTATAAATAAGCTGCAAGATGTGAAGTAGAGGATGGGTAGGTTGCTCACAGCTCCTGTTTCATTTATCCATGTAAGGGGAGGAATAATATATGATGAGTGAATCACTAGGGGGCAGTTTCATTTATATTTGCAAATTAGAATGAATTGGAACTGACTTTATTTCCTTCTATGTCCTTTTGCCATTGTTTAGCAAAAATACTGTAGTGTAATTCATTCTATTTCCTGCTTTTTCCTGTTGGGGTTGATCATCAAAACACTGTGGGATAATTATGCTACATGAAGAAATAAACATAAACAATGCATCTGTTGGTGATTTGGAAAAAGTCTGTTTTCATAACTGGATTTTTCTGTTAACACTAGATAAATGGGTTAAAACAAAGAGTCTAGAGATCAATAGGACTTATAGCCCAGCAATTAACCTGTAGGATCACAGCTTCCCCACCTGTGCATTTCTGAGTGGCTTTTCAGCATAACCAGCTCCTAAAAGTAGCACTAACTGACAATTTGCGGAGTCATCTTAACCCTAGGAGCCATCAGATTAAATGGGCTAGGATGGGGCAGCAGTACCTTCCTGGCAGAGTCTCTTTGCCAGTATTGGTAGTGGGCTTTATCAGACCAGAAGACTTCATTCTCTCTTTCCATAGAGATAAAGGTAAAGGTTCCCCTTGATACAAAGATAAAACTCTTTTAAGCATATTGTTATACCTACTGCCTGTGAAACATGAAAATGCACAACTAAGAAAATTAAATGATTAAATATTTTTCAACAACGTTGCCTAAGAAAAGTCCTCCATGTCTCATATTGTGACTATATCACTAATGAAGGAATACTGCAAAGATCAGACCCAAAACAAGTCAACAAGTGCGAATGAATGTCGAATGCAGTTTGCCAGCCACATTGTACGCATGCC